TGAAGGCAGCTGCAGACAGCTGAAGGCGACTGCAGACGGCTGAAGGCGACTGCAGACTGCTGCAAACAGCTTAAACGTGTGGTGTCACTGTTTGCAGGTGAACTTCACAGAGACGTTGTACCGTTATGATGAGGACGGATATCAGTCGTATTGCACCGTGTGCTGTGCAGGAACCGAGGTGGTTCTGTGCAGCAACTCCAGCTGCTGCAGGTAAATACACAATCCATTTTATGCAGCACTCAACATTTGTTTGGTTACACACATAGACTTTTTAAACAAAGTCCAAATTACTTTTCACCTGTAGTCTCATTTCAGTCCCGTTGTTCTTCAGTGGATTCTTGTATAGAATTGAAAACGAATAGAATGTCCCTCTGGTGCTTGTCCTTCTTGTCTGGTCCACTGATCGTTGTCCCTCTGGTGCTTGTCCTTCTTGTCTGGTCCACTGATCGTTGTCCCTCTGGTGCTTGTCCTCTGTCTGGTCCAGATGTTTCTGTAAGGACTGTCTTAACCTCCTGGTGACAGAAGGAACCTTTGACAAGATCCAGGAAGTCGACCCCTGGAGCTGCTACATTTGTGTCCCTTCTCAGTGTGAAGGACACCTGAAACTCAGGCCAGACTGGAGCGTCAAGCTTCAAGACTTCTTTGCCAATGACAGCGCCATGGAGTTTGTAAGTAGGACGTGTCCAACCTAACGTTTGTCTCGTTTGTGTCCTGGTAAACTGTCACTTATTGTTATAATTCACTGAGAAGCAACACGTCGGAAGATATCCTGAGCTGGAAACAGGAAACCATCGTTAAAGACCACCTGAGGCTCTGTTCTCTACCTGGATACCTGGATCTCGTCCATCAGATTCTGTTTCCTCCACTTCATTTGTTCTCATTTCTTACTCTTGTTTTCACCTCAACCCCTGGGTCCAACACTACACCCCATGAGGACAAGAACAGTTTGTCCTTCTGATGAAGTTTGGTTTGACATTGTAGAATTAAAGTTATCCAGAGGAACACCTGGAACATCAGAGCACAACAGATTTAGATATTTTTTATTGTCATTCACACCACATGTGTGGTACATGTGGTGGAACAAAATTATGTAGACAGGGTCCCAGTTACATCAAACAATAAAATGTAAAAGAAAAACGGTAAAAAGATCTAAGATATGAACTAAGACTAGACGAGCTGAAGGAACATTCAGCATGAGTCCCTGGCAGCTGTAAGCTAACACAGCTGAAGGTTTTATTTTACGGGGCAGAACCTCAACATGTGCGTTTGTACTGCAGCTTTGGTTGTTCTTAGAGCTGTCATTTCTAGCCCAGGCCCGAAGCCCGGCCTGACCTGACCCAACCAGAATTTGGGGCAGTCCGGGCCATGATAATGTGCTGGATGGGCGGGCCGGGTCAGTGTCTGACTTTCAATTGCGTCAGCGGATCAGCCGCGATCCAATTATATACCATACCATACCACTTTATTTATAGAGCACTTAAAACAGTGACAAGGCCAACCAAAGTGCTGTACAGACAAAACAAAAATATGGTAACATGGCTTGCTATAAAATCCAATTATATAACAACATTGTTTGTCGTACCTTCACCAGCCGCATGCAGCCATTTCACCGTGCGCTGACCGGCCTTGGAAAAGGTCAAATTAAGTTCAGTTAAGCTTCACATGGGACGGTACTGCCAGGCAGCAGTCCATCGCCCAAATGGTCGTTCATTCTGCCGCTGCTCTCAGCGGACGTGCGCGGCTGACGACCCAAACAGGTGAGATCCCAAAGCAGACGTGTCAGAACAGTCCGTGTCTGAATAAATTCAGACTAAATTCAGAATACAGACAGAAGCAGGGTTTTAATGTACTTTGACGGCCATGAAAGGACAAACACCCCCTCAGCTCCGATCTTCTGCCCCCTTTATTCAGCCGCGCGTCACTGCAGTAAAGTTAGTTTTACGTTGAACGTTGGACATTCCAGCTCCATGGCTTCAGTGGTGTGTTCCTCTCCTTCGATCCGATGCAGGCAGTCTGATTTAGGTTAGCTGAACTCGACTGAGAGGAACACACTGCTGAAGCCACGGAGCTCGAATGTCCAACGTAAAACTAACTTCACTGCAGTCCACGCGTCCACCGACCATTAATAACTATAAGCAGTCAAAGCTTAATTAAAAATGTCGGGGGGGGGTTTCCAGGTTCGGACCTGTAATTACTGTTAATTCGTCGGGTGGGGTTCTGAAATGATGTCTACGGGCTGGGGCCGGGTCGGATCAGATTTTTTGGGCCCAAATGCAACTCTAGTTGTTCTGGCTCTGAGGCTCTGCTGGTGATCTGCATCAGAAATGATTTGTGGAGCACGTTTCGAAGACAAGCTGTTGTTTCATTGATGTTCTCGTGTGTTTTATCTGCAGGAACCTCACAGAGTTTACCCCTGTGTCCCAGCTGAGCAGCGCAGACCCCTCAGGGTGCTCTCTTTGTTTGATGGCATTGCAACAGGTAGGATCGTCGTGCTGTCAATCAGTAATACGTTGATTCGGTGTTTGTGTAAACAAAAAGCTTCTGGTAAACATTTATAATGGACAGTAATCCAGTTAGCTTCACACAACGGTCTCTGTTTTATGGTTAAACTGCTCAAAGTAAGTGTTTTCATCACACCAGGATATTTGGTGCTAAAGGAACTCGGCTTCAGGATCGAGAGATATGTCGCTTCTGAGATTTGTAACAACTCGATCACTGTGGGAATGGTCAAACACAACGGGAAGATCGAGTACGTCGACGACGCTCGGGCCATTACCAGGAGACATGTGAGGCCAGAATGCAGGAACAGCAGAACTTCAGCTAGTGTGAAAGGTGACGTGAGCTCCAGCTTTGTGTGTTTCAGCTGGCTGAATGGGGTCCGTTCGACCTCCTGATCGGAGGCAGTCCATGTAACGACTTGTCCATGGTCAACCCTCAGAGAAAAGGATTATTTGGTAACTCTTACATTTCTGCTTGGAGACCTTTTAGCTTTGCAGGAAGAGTAGTAAGATGTAATTAAAGCGTTTGCGTTCTTCATGTCTCCCTGCAGAGGGCACTGGAAGACTCTTCTTCGAGTATTACCGCATACTGAACATACTGAAGCCAAAGGAGGAGGACAACCGCCCCTTCTTCTGGTTGTTCGAGAACGTGGTTTTCATGAGCTCCCATGATAAGTCTGACATCTGCCGGTTCCTGGAGGTGATCAATCATAAATGTAGCTGCACGTGTCAGTAAGGTGGGATCAGCATGTTCAATGTGTGTGTTTATTTCAGTGTAATCCAGTTCTTGTTAATGCGGTGAAGGTCAGCCCTGCTCACAGAGCGCGCTACTTCTGGGGGAACATTCCAGGCATGAACAGGTATAAATCATTAGCTCCTGCGCTTACTGTAACGTTGCAAAGATGACGAGGTCTTCACATGTGTGTCATATTTGTTTCAATTCAGTTTATTTATACAGCACCAAGTCACAACAGAAGTCATCTCAGGGCACTGATTTTTTGTGTGTGTGTGTCTGTCAGACCCATTACTGCGTCTCAGAGTGACAAAGTCATTCTCCAGGAATGTTTGGAAGTTGGGCGCAAGGCGATGGTAAAAAAACAAACATTCTGATACATTTTTAATTGATTTTGTTTTGCAGCATTGTCTTTTATTTAGTTTAGTATACTAGCAGCCATTCACTGTGGGGACTTTAATTCTGTTGTGCTTTTAATTTTATATTTGCCTCTGTCGTCCTGCAGACGGAGAAGATTCGCACAGTCACATCACATGCAGAATGCATGAAGCTGGGGAAGAAAGGGCCACTTCCTGTCACCATGAACGGGAAGGAGGACTACCTGTGGTCCTCAGAGTTGGAGATGTAAGGCTGACTCTCATATCTTACCACTAACTCACATTTTGAGTGTCCTCTTGGTGTTCAGTTTGAAGTCATGAGGGTTGGTGGTTAAAATATTTCTCTGTGCTTTAAAACCTTATCTGCATTGTTTGTTGCAAACTGTTTTACATTAACGTCTTTTGTTACAAAAGAAGTGTGGAGGATTACAACTCTTGCTTCCTGGACTGGACCCTGGGTTGTTAATTTGGAGGACAAACAAAATCAGACAAATTTCTAGAAAGAAGAGCAGCTCCACCCAAAGTGGGATGGATGTCATCTCCCCACATCAGGCCAGGTTTTCCCCAAAAAGCGCTCCAGTTATCTTATGTAGCCCACGTTGTTTTCAGAACACCACCTGGACACCCAGCAGATGAATGTCGACATACGACTAAACATGTCATTGCTGGTCATGTTGGGGAGGGGACCAGAGAAAACTATGGAGTCCAACGTGTTTTTTTTATTTTTTTTATCAGTCTTTTTATTTTGTATTTCAGAATACACACACAAAAAGAGAAAAAATAATGCAACAAAATCCCCACACTGTGTCAGCCACACAGACACAAACACACTACATTGACATATTCTCAACATAAGACACAAATGGCTGCCAAGTGTCTCAAAACCTCTCAACAGAACCTTTCAAAGTACGTCTGATCTTTTCCAGATGAGCATGATACATGACTTCCCTTATCCAGTGTTCGTATGCCGGGGGATGCGGATCCTACTATCTGCATGAAATAAGTCTCCTGGCTAGAAGAGAGCCAAAAGCAACCATATTCCTCTCATACTTGCTGAAGAACGTATCCACAGGGGCCACCCCAAACAGTGAAATGAATGGTGACAGGTACACAGTTTTTCCACATATCCCAGAGAAAATATCAAAAATAGATTGCCAATAGGTCCGCAGTTTTGAACAAATCCATACCATACCATTTTATTTATAGAGCACTTAAATCAGCTACAAGGCCAACCAAAGTGCTGCACAGACAGAACAACAGACAACACACGAAGCAATATAAAAAATGAAGTAAATCAAAAATATAGACATAAAAACGATGCAGACCAGAACCAGACCAGTGTGTAAGAGCGTATTGGGAAAGGAAATAGGAAATTATTTGACCCCCTCAGGGAAGCCTTTAATGCCTCCCAGACAGTAGAGAGTAGCATCCCTGGCGTTCGATTAACATCAAGAAAGAATTCAATTTCAGACACAAGGAATATGAGAAAGTCCTCCTCAGACAAGAGCAAGGGGTTACCCATAGACGTCGCAACCATTATATATGAAGGGGACATGTCCACCCCCACATAAAAAAAACGTTCATTTGCCCCCCCACACACACACACACTTTTACTATAAAACATTAGTTCAGTCGGCGCAGTTTCTCGTTCTTCGTGAATGAATCCATTCCACTTGGTTAATAGGAGAATACTCAAACCACTAAAACTCCACTCCAGGTTTTCCTGGGTACCTCCTCCAACCTGCAGTGCTTCTGTGGGTCTCGTCCTGCCTCGGCAGAAAACGTGCACAAGTGGAGGAGGTGGAGGTACCACTGCTCGCCAGTTTAGTGAGCTTAGTGCTGGCAGTTGTTGACCAGGGGGGTTGATCAAATGGTTAGGAGGATGCTTGAGAGGAGCGCTACGTCTGTAGCATGTTAGCTTAGCAGTAACTGTGACGCTGTAAGACGCTGCAGGTGTAAGAGACGCTGTGTGTTCAGGTGCATTAACGTTGAAATGTCTTTAAAACCCCACACCTTATTGTCCTCAAGCTTCATGAGAAACACCATTTAGATGAGTAGTGTTGAACACAAGTAAAAATGTCCAGTGGTGATGTTTTTTATTTCTCTATAAAGACAAATAGTGCCGACCTAACTCTCTGTATTAAAGTGTTTTTAAGTTAAAATGTCTTTAAAACAGCTGAATTTACACAAACTTGATGAGAAACATTCTTTAAGTGGAATTAAAGTAAGGAAATCTAGATGAAATGCTGCTATTTTGTAAACTAGAGTATAATTTTTGTGCGTGCACATACACACTAGTGTCCCCCCCACATTACAAATGCTTCTGACGCCCATGGGGTTACCGGTACGTTTCCAAGGACAATATACAGATTGTGTGACTGGAACAAGTGGTTTCATAAGTGGACTGTGGTCAATTCAAAGACCATATAAGACTGACATGAATACAGCACCTCAGACTGAAGAAGTCTTTCGGATGAATTTGAACACGTGTGAAAATCAATGTTAATATTTGGTACAGTATCCTTTGTTTGCAGTTACAGAGGTCAAACGTTTCCTGTAGTTTTTCACCAGGTCTGCACACACTGCAGCAGGAGTTAGTCTAGATCAGCCAGGTTTCTGGGCTGTCGCTGAGAAACACAAGAGTTTGAGCTCCCTCCAAAGATTTTCTTTAGGGTTTAGGTCTGGAGACTAGGCCACTCCAAAACCTTGATATGCTTCTTACGGAGCCACTCCTTGGTTCTCCTGGCTGTGTGCTTTGGGTCATTGTCATGTTGGAAGACCCAGCCATGACTCATCTTCAATGCTCTAACTGAGGGAAGGAGGTTGTTCCCCAAAATCTCACAATACATGGCCCCGGTCACCCTCTTCTTTTTTTTTTTTTCATCCTCTTCTTAATACAGTGCAGTCGTCCTGTCCCATGTGCAGAAAAACACCCCCAAAGCATGATGCTTTCACCCCCATGCTTCACAGTAGGGATGCCGTTTTTGGGATGGTACTCATCATTTTTCATCCTCCAAACACATCGAGTGGAATTAAGACCAAAAAGTTCTATTTTGGTCTCATCTGACCACATAACTTTCTCCCATGTCTCCTCTGGATCATCCAAATGGTGATAATAGTACATTATGATGCAGTAAAGGGCAAACTTAAGACGAGCCTGGACATGTGCTGATTTAAGCAGGGGAACCTGTTTAAACTTTCCTTCCCTCCATTGATTACGGTGACATTATTTACATGAACATTCCTACAAGCACTCTGCAGATGCTGTCTATCATGGTGCATTCAGATTCATAACTGGCTGTGATTATCGTAACCATCACTGCACTCTGTATTCACTGGTTAACTGGTCATCATTAACTTCACGCAGACTCTCTCACTGGTACATTTTCATCTTTAAATCACTTCTTGGTCTGCTGCCTTCATACATCTCCTCCTACATGTCTCTGCGTGAGTGCAGCTACAGCATGTGCTCTCAGGACATTATTACCTGCCGTGTCCCCTCAGTGCGGACTGAACTAGGCAAAAGGGCCTTCTCCTACTCTGCTCCTGTTTCCTGGAATATCTTGCAAAAAGACCTGAAGCTCTCGACCTTGACCTCTCTAAGTGGCTCTTGTAAATGAGTCCCCGAGGCTCAATGGGATTTACCTGTCTAAATAAAGGTTGAATGAATGAAAAAGATCACAGGACATTTCCCCTCACAGGATCCACGGAGCATGTGGAAGGGCATTAAGTGTATCACAGACTGTAAAAGCAGGGGTGCACAATGCCCTAGGGACCCATCACTGCCTGATGCTCTTAACAGGTTCTATGCCCGATTTGAAGACCTGAACAGACCATCCAGCACCAGACTCACCTCACCACCGGAAAAGGAGTTCCTCAGCATGACATCAGCAAAAGTAAGGAGGACCTTCAGGAGGATTAATCCTCACAAAGCCACTGGCCCAAACAACATCAGGGGGAAGGTGCTGAGTAACTGTGCCTAATAGCTCTGTGAGATGCTGACCGCCGTCTTTAACTCCTCCCTCACCCTGGCAACTGTTGCCACCTGCTTGAAGACTGCTACCATCATCCCAGTTCCTAAGAGCTCTGCAATGACTGGTCTAAATGACTACCAGCCAGTAGCCCTCACCCCAATAGTTGCTAAATGCTTTGAAAGACTGGTCATGGCCCGCAAAAAAGATACCATTGACATCAGTGAGGACCCACACCAGTATGCATACTGCAAGAATCGATCAACAGAAGACGCCATCTCCTCTGTGTTCCACACTGCTCTCACCCACTTCGAGCAGAAAGACTCCTACGTGTGTATGCTCTTTGTGGACTTGACATCTGTCTCCAAAACCATGATTCTCCAGACCCTGATGGACAAACTACTCACACTAGCACTGAGGCCCTCCCTATGCAACTGGGCCCTGGATTTCTTAACCAACAGACCACAGTTCGTGAGGATCCACAACTTCTCCACCATAACCCTCAGCACTAACTCCCCTCAGGGCTGTGTGTTGAGCCCCCTCCTGTTCACTCTGCTCACATATGACTGTGCACACCCATCCAGGCTGTCATATTGTAAAGTTGCAGATGATACAGCGGTGGTGGGATGCATCACAAACAATGATGAGTCCAGCTACAGGCAGGAGGTGGAACACCTGGAGATCTGGTGCAGCAACAACAACTCCCAACTAAAAATCTACACATTTGTATTTGTGCTGAGGAAAACAGCTCTAATTGGCTCCCTCATTGACTACATATCAGGAAAAAATAAATAAATAAAAACTGCAAACAACATAGTGTATTTAATTCAGAGTGCTGAGGCCTATACAGTCCAATATAAAAGAAATGTAGGACACAACCCCATCAAAGGTCCAAAAAGACAGATATTTAGTCAAACATAAACCTGAAGAAAAAAGCAGATTAGCAACTGCTGTGGTGGGGCTACACTGACCCTTGACTCCGGCTTCTCCGCGACGCCTAAGATCCTCACGTTGCACCTTCTCATACGTCCCTGCATGTCTTCATATTTCTTTTTCAGCACATTTATCTCGTCTTTCAGTTCTCGTCTTTCTTTCAGTGCTGCGCAGAGCCGCAACCTCATCTGACCATGTGGACAGCCCATCCTCAATATCTTTTAGACTCAGTTTAGCCTGGTCCATTTCTGCTCTGAATGCTGTGATGCTGTTAGTCACCTCCGCTCTCACTGCTTGAAGTTCACCCTTAATAAAGGCAAGATCCTCTGCGAGGGCGGCTTTCACTTCTGATTTAATTACTGCTGAAATTTCTGCTTTTATATAAGCCAGAATGTCCGACTTCAGGGCCGACACTTCCGTTTCTCTGGGACCTGGTGAGAGTGGAGCTGAATCCCTGGCTTCAGAAGTACTGTGGCCCGAGGCAGTGTCGGGCCCAGTGGCCACTGAACACATATACTTATATTTCTTCAAATTTGTCGCCATTCTTCAGCTTTGCTGAGTCAGTCACACAACAATGTTGAATATTGGAGCATCCAATGTAAAGGTAGTGAGAATATCTTCATGAAAGGCAGTTTTCAGGGAGTACTGGCGGGAGCCTAAGCTAAATGCACACTACTCCACTGCCACCCTCTTGTCCCTCATCTTAAGACGAGTCTAACACACATTTGAATATTCCAGTTGTCTACGTATGAATGTAAAGGTGTAAATTAGGAGCATCTAAGTCAAAGTTTCTTACATGTAATTTAACTCTTGCAGCGTAACTATCCAAACAAGCGTACTGTCTTTGTTTCCTAGTTTATCTGAAGATGAAGCTGTGCCTTTATTCATGCCACTGTTTGTGATGCGCTCTGGTCTTTCAGGGTCTTTGGGTTTCCGAAACACTACACGGACGTGAACCACATGAGCCGGACCTGCAGACAGAAAATCCTGGGCAAGTCCTGGAGCGTCCCGGTCATTCGCCACCTGCTCTCCCCACTGAAGGATTATTTTGAATGTGAAGCAGGTCAGTGATGTGAGACACCAGAGGAGCAGCTGAAAGCCTAGTGCCTTATCTGTCGTGCGTTTATGCTCCAAATTGACTTCATTTAGCATTTAAGATTTCAGCTCTTATTGTGGGGTTTGTGAGCGTTCATGTTCCTCGATCAGCAGCAGATAAACACATTCTGTTTTTTTTTTTCTTGTTTTGGTGTTTTTCTGTATGAAATGATGTTAACGTCATCTGAGAGCGTTTCTCTGAGCACAGGCCTGAGTCACAAAGTGAGACGAGAAGTTGCACCTGCCTTCAGGTTTTTATTATGTTGACAGTCATGATCAAATGAAATAACAGTGGCTGTTTCCTGATGCATGCTCAATAGTCCAGGTAGAAAAATCTAAAAAAGTTAAATCTGGTCCTCTGGACATTCAAAAAAACAAAACAAAGCTGTGGCTGTTATTTGTTATACAGTGCATCAGTGGGTAAAGCTGCCACCTCTCAGCAAGAAAGTCATCGGATCAAATCCCAGCCAGGGGCCTTTCTGGGTGGAGTTTGCATGTTCTCTCCATGCATGTGTGGGTTTTCTCTGGTTTCCTCCCACAGACCAAAAACATGCATGTTAGACTGATTGGTAACTCTAAATTGTCCCTAGGTGTGAGTGAGAGAGTGAATGGTTGTCTCGTTTGTCTCTTATCTGTCCCTGTGATGGACTGAAGACTGGTCCAGGTGTCCCTGTGATGTAGGGCTGTCATTTCTAACCCGTAGTCTGGCCCTGCCCGGACCGCATTCATACTGGGCCGGGCCATAATAATGTGCTTAATGTGTGGACTCTGATCTGCAGGCAGGTCCCCGGTTCAAATCCCGGTCCGGAGGCCTTTTTGGGTGGAGTTTGCATGTTCTCTCCGTGCATGCGTGGGTTTTCTCCAGTTACTCCAGTTTCCTCCCACAGACCAAAAACATGCGTTAGACTGATTGGTAACTCTAAATTGTCCCTAGGTGTGAGTGAGAGAGTGAATGGTTGTTTGTCTCGTTTGTCTCTACGTGTCCCTGTGATGGACTGGAGACCTGTCCAGGGTGTACCCCGCCCCTCGCACAGTGATTGCTGGACACGGGCACTGGCAACCCCTGTGACCCAAAATGGAAGAAGCGGGTAAAGATAATGGATGGATAATGATGTTTTTAATGATGTTTAATGATTAATAATGTTTTCACATTAGGAACTCATATTTGGTGGCAGCGACTCTCCTCACTCTGTGATCCAGGCCTGAGCTCCTCCTCGCTGACCTGTTTCAAATCTACAAACTCTTTTATAAACGTTTGATCTTTTTTCAACACCAGATATTTTTCTTTGAGAACATCTCATGTGTCATTAGAAGTTTGATTCTGCTCCTCCTGATCCGATCGTCTGGGAATCATTGGATGTTTTTTTAACTTCTTGTTGACCTAATGAACTGATGAGTCACATTTTTAATCTTTATTTTAATGCTGGATCTTCCAAACTGCATTTACTCTTCAGAGGTGATGACCTTAATGACCTTTAAAGACTCGGTCGCAGCTGAGATGTTTCCCTCAGCCGTGACTTTTTAATACTTATTTTAGGTAGCTGAGAAAGTAGAAGTAGTTCATAAAGTTGTACGTCATGAAACTAAAGCTCTTTGTACGTGTTGAAAAGAACGGCCTAAACTCTTTAATGTTCACAAACAGCAAAGTGACAAATAAAAGCCATGAAGATGAAAAACTAAAGGAAGCAGCTGTTCCTGGCTTTTCATCTTAAGCTCTTTCATCCGCTGTAAACAAAGCAGCGAGCCTTAAATGTCCAGCTGGGATTCAAACCGGTGAACTTCTCTCTGAGAGACAGCAGCTGTACCAACTGAACCACCGTGCCTGGTTGTTAGAAGAGTCAGTAGTGAAATGTTTTTTTTATTTGTAGCAATATTTTGTAGCTTTCATTTCATTTTGAGGACTTGTTGCTTTAATAGCAGCAGGAAGCTGTGAAGTGCCACGGTGCGTTCAGGATCAGTTTTTCTTCTACGCTCTGTGGAGCAC